TGGATTTCCACTTGGCTAAGTGGCCTTGACAAACCATTTGTGTTCCCCAAGCCTCTTATTTTCTCATCTTGAAATGGGAATAGTAGGCAACCTGTCTCTATAGTTGAATATTCATTGTACTGATTGTCTCTAGAGAACCGTGGAGGGCAGAAGAGGTTTATCAGTACCAAAGGGGAGACAGATATAAGGGTATTGTTTCATGGTGACGTGACTGTCATAAACACAGATCTTTAGCCTCTCTGCTAAGCATACAAGCAATACAGGTTCAAGCTACCATAGTTTTGGGGAGCCCTAGAGTGAATCAGGATTGGAGCAGTTCTTCCTTAACAAAATCTCATCTAGTAAGCAGTTATTTTGACTGGCAGGATGACTCAGTTGCAATCTATGGTATTGTCCTGTAGCTAGTTTGCAGGATGGAAGGAAAGGAAATTTTTTTGTAACAAGCACAATAATATTTTATATGTTAGTGTTCCCTTGGTGTGACGAAACACCCGAGACAACATCTTGAAAGGAGAAAAGGTTCATTTTGGCTCAGTTTGAGAGATCTCAGTTCAGGGTCACGTGATCCTGAAGCTTTTGAGTTCTGACAAGGCAGAGCGTCATGGCCGGGAGTGTGTTCACTCACTTCCTGGTGGGGCAGAATAGAGAGGGGGAGACAGACAGACAGACAGACACAGAGACCTTCAACATATTGCCCTCAGAGGGTTGCTCCCAATCCAAACCATCATACCATGGGAAGAAGTTTGGCCATCAAAACCCAGCACTCTGAAGCCTGAATCCCAGTGTATATGTGAAGGAAACTAGTTTATCTGATAAGGAGGCTTCTTCTCTCTCAGAATTGTGTGGAACAGACATGATTTTAATTGTTAAACTAAAGCAGCTCTGGTGCTTCTACCCAGAGCAAGCCCAGCTTCTTTGGTTATAATAATTCTAATGATGTAGCCAAGCAGAGGTGGGAGAGGTTACTTTTGGCCAGCTGTCCTGTCCTGTAGCCAGTCTTGACATTAACTGTCGGGAAACTTTATGCAACAATGAAGGGGGGAAAAGAGTAGCCATGGAAGACACCTGAGATGCTGAGAAGTGTTGCACACCTGTCCTCCACAGTGCCTGGTGTGTGACAGCACTGAGCACCCAACTGTTCGTATGAGTGGATTAACAACTGAAAAGTGGACTGAAAAAGTGTTATGGACAGAGCTAAGTGGTAGAGTGCTTGCCCTACATGTGTGGGGCTCTGGGTTCAACTCCCCAAAAACCTCTCACGCAATGGAGCCAAACACTATACTTTGTCAGTGATAGAGTTGGGGAAAATACTGCTGTATCCTAATAGTTCAACAAAATAGAAAAAATTTTTTTTGTTTTCTTCAGCATGGAGATTAATCCAGGGCCTTGCTAGGCAAGTGCTCTAACATTGACGAGAATGAAGAAATGTCTTCTCATTTAAGACTTAAGAAAATAAGATTCAATTAAATATGAGCAATAGAAAATAGCAGTTTCTCATATTTCTACCAGAAACATGTTAGTATCTTTGTCTGCCAGGTGTTGTGTGACCTTAGGATGTAGTGATGAGAATTCCATGCTGGATCTTCTATGCTGTGGAGCAGGAAGCATGGCCAACTGTTAGAGGCATATTATGAGCCGAGGTACCACTGCGGAAGGAAAAGTAGAAATATTACAGGCACACAAGGAGGCATATCCAGAGAGCCTGAGACAGGAGGTGTGCTGGAGGATCTTGGAGCAGGCCAGACCCCGAGAGCGTGGCGAGCGAGAAGAAGCTAAGTTAGCAGTTGTCACATCCCAAACATGGTGGTACGTTATTCCTGACATTCTGTAGCCCCTTGTGAGGGTACTTGGTTTATACAAGAACATGAACTTGTAGGAGGCGCTGTGGGGCAGGGGGAGGGGTGCCCTCTTGGCAGTGTGAAATGAGCAAAACAAAATCTGGACAGTGAAATTTCACTGTGAGCTCAGCCGGGCTCTCCTGGAGTAGGTGTGACGGAAATAGACAGAAAGGGGCAAAAGTGTGGGGCTGGCTGGGTCCAGGAAGGGAACAGGAAGGGCCATGTAACTTTTCTATTAGAAACTTTCATCTCAGCCATACTTCTGATTTTTTTTTGCCGAACCAGGGATTGAACTCAGGCCGTTGCGCTTGCCAAGCAAGCACTTATTCTACTGAGCCATCTCCCTGGCCTCCCATGCTTCTGATTTTGACAGTGACATTTGAGTCAGTGTGCTATGTAATTTGTGACAGTGTACATAGTTTCATGGGTTTGCTCACCAAGTCTTCTGTTTGCGTTCTTTCCCTTTTATTCCTGTACTTCTGCTCTCAAGTTAGGAGGAAAGGGCACAGAATCCTGCAGCCTTGGGGTACAGGGCCCCTGCAGACACCAGGAGCAGCTGTGAGGTTGTATGGGGCTCAGCTTCGCTTTTGACTTTGTTTTATTTCTTTTAGAGAATATCTTCTAAAGTAAAATTTTAATATGTCTTAGTGATGGCAGTAAACATACATGTGCACTTTTATTTTTATTTGATTTTTCTCTCTGTGCTAAATGTTTTTAATTAGAAGACAGCATGAAGGGCAGTTATAGAAAGGGAGGGGGGCTGGCCCTGGCAAAAGAGGGAGAGTCCTGCTTGTGGCAGAAGACCTGGTCCTTGGGCATCTTATCCAAGGAAGAGCAATAGGAAGCTGACAAACATGTGAGTGCTTCCTGGCTCCAACTCTGTGATCCCAACTTCTGAAAACAATTGGTTATTGAATAATTCTATGTACAGGCTTACAAATGTAGTGTCCCATGCTCATGAGTCCCCCCCCCTTTTTTTTTTAAACAAGGAAGAGATTCAATTCAGCTTGGCATGCGCTGGCTTGTGGTGCTCTTATAGAGAAGACCATGCACTGAAATTCATTTGCTAAATGGCATTTTGAAAGTCTGGGGCCTAGAGGATGTTCACAGGAATTTGGAACCTTCCAGAAGCTTGTGTACCTCTTACACAGCTGTCTTTCCGGTCACCACCTCAGGTCTTGATTGTGTCCTTCAGTGTTTGTACCATCAGGGACAATGGATAGATATTGAGGATGAAAAATTCTGCTCCTAGCCCTTCAAACTCTAGATTAGAAATACAGTAATGAACAGGGAACAGCACAAGTGGAAACTTGGATGACAATAGGCATGGTGTACAAAAGTTACATAATACATTCACTCGCTAGCCTAGTGACATTTTTTCAAATGTCATTGTAGGTCAGAATTAGATATGTGCCTTAGATTATGGCTTTTTGATGGGACAAAATGGTGCCATGAATTTGGAGGTTTGGTTTTGTTCCTGGATATTGTCCAAGATGGTATCATGTGCCACCTGGGGCTTTACTAGTACTGTTGAGCGGGGAAAAGAGTGTGCATGGCCATCCCCTCTGGCCAACCTCTTTTCCCTGGAGAGGGGCAGCTGGTGGAGGGGAGCCCCCACCCCACAGGCATGGAGGAGAAGCGACACACGACATGGCCCTTTGCAGACTCAGCAGCCCTTGCTGACATGGAATGTCCTCCAGGCCATCAGCTGCCGTCGTTGCCTCCTCTCCAGTTTCACCTAGGTAGGTCAGGTTTCCTTCAGATGCACTGAATGAATGAGAAGAAGAAAGTGTGCGCTGGCAGAAATTCAGCTGAATAAGGCAAGGCTTTCCAAGTAGGGGCAGGAATTTAATCAGAGCGAAGATTCAAGTCAGTGGAACGCCAAGTGAATGGCAGTTCTGCTGATAATGAAAGGTACAGATATTTTTATATTTCAGGCTTACCAAATGGGGTTCTTCCACTTGGTCACTGGCCTGCACAGGTGCAAAGTGGAGGCTCTTCCTGAGCTTTGAATTTGCTAAGTGATCAGAAACATTTTTTGCTTCACGTTTGTTTGTTTGTTTTTGGCAGAACCAGGGATTGAACTAAGGCCCTCACACTTGCCAGGCAAGTGCTTTTTCTACTGCGCTAGCTTCCCAGCTCCAGTTCCTCTTCATATTAAAAGACTGGAGAAAAGACTAGTTTTTTAGAAATAAATTTTTTTAGAAAATTCTATTTTTATTATTTTTTTGCGGTATCGGGGATTGAACTCAAGAAAAGACTATTTTTAAATGAAAATTTGTGGGGTTTTTTTAAAGCAATACTTTTTTCCCCTTTTGCAACCAGACTTGATAGTTTAAAGTAACAGGTTTTCCAAATAGCACCCTTAGGCTTTGCCTCTGGAATTATCACATTTATCATGGGATTAGAACTTTCCAGAAGTCTCTTTCTCCACAGGATCATCACTCTGCCCAAAAGTATGGTTCTTTGGAGCATGTTATAGGAATACAGACAGAATGACCTTTCCAACAGGACTCTTTTTGTAAGTTTGATCATTAAAAATAAAATGAAGAACATATTTTTCCTAATGAAGAAGGAAAAGTTCAATTCACGGACATGATGTAAAGCCTCCGTGAAAGGAGGCAAATCACGTAGCTGTACTTATTTTTATTTACTTCTCTAATTTATGTCTTCTGCCAAGTTCCCACAGCAGACCACATCCACAGTCCCAAAGTAGTATTTTGCTTGAGTCTTAGCAGACTTACTTCTCCTTGAATTAAACTCTACCTTTGCCATCATGTCCATGTGAGAGCATTTGGGACCACTACTGCTAAGAAGCCAGCATTAGTTAATATTACTGTTGTGATCCTGGGCTGCAGAGAGCATGTGGAGAGTGGTTCATGCCTTCCACTCACATGTGGTTGGGATGTGGGCACAGATATAATGAAACTTACTTGTCAAGGGCTTATTTTTATTCCACTATTTGAAATGAAACTGAGAAAATATCCTGGCTGAAATGCTGGGGAATCTCCTAGAAAAGCTCTGTGTGACCAAATGCAGGCAGCATGTAAGCCTTCATGGTCCCACCTACACGCTGGCCCCTTACCCAGTAGAGAGCTGGTGGCAGTGGTGAGGAAATGAGGAACCACAGGGAATGAGCCTAGTGTGCTTCTTCCTTGTCAGATCTCCCAGCTGATGACAGAGAGCACCCGCGAGGGACTGACGGAGGCGGCTCTGAACCGCTACAATGCAGACAAGCCCGTGGCCTGCAGCGTCCCAGCCTCGCAGGGCTCTGTTGCGGCGAGCGAGACTTCCACAGGAACCTCAGTGGCCGCGTCCTTCTTCGCACGGTAAGAGAGATGCTCAGATCTTTGGCTCTTTTGCATGTGTTCAGCTAGTTAGCATCCTACGTGGACACTTACAGCTAAAAGAATTTGAGTTTGTGGCTACTTTGACTTCATCTTTCAGGACAGGATTTTTCAATCTTGGCATCCCAGTGACATTGTGACCGAGACAGCCCTGTTGTAGGGACTGTCTTGTGCCTCTACCTGCTCAGCACCAGCAGTATTTCTCCCCAGTGAGACTACCAAAAAGAAAAAAGGAAAAAGAAAAGGTCTGCAGATGTTGTCATATGTCCCCTGGGTTGAGAACCACTGCTTTAAAGATGGTCATCTGTAGGATAAGGACTTTTATTGGTGCAGCCCTGAGGCTGGTGGCTCAGATCTATCTGCCTCCAAATTCAGTATTGCATAGGGGCAGTCTTGTTCCTTCTTCACTAGACTGGCTGGACAGTTATCACACACGATAGAGCTAATCTTGGAAACTTAAAAACATGAGAAACAAAACGGAAAGGTATTTTAACAATGTTTTCTCCCTAATTTTAGCCACATGGCAGAGACAGGGTTGGAGACACAGGACAGCTGAGCAGGACAATGTTTCAGGGGTTGGCTAATTTGATCTCCTTCCTTTACAAATGAGGAAACTGAGGACCAGGGGAGTTCAACTGCGAGTTAGTTTATAGCAAAGCCAGAAATAGAAGCCAGATTCCTCTGCTTTTGCTCTATAACTCAGTCTTTATCCAATACTTGGAATTGAACCTTAGAAAATTTTCTCTATCTCAGGTGCAAAGACCCCTTGGGTCAGAACACAGCCCTGCCTCAGTTTCCTTGTCTGTGCAATAAAGACGACATATTCTGCGAAGATGAAGATTAATTAATCATACGTCATAAAATGCCTTGCAGAAGTCAGTTCAGTACAGACTTGGCCACTGTGTCAGCAAGAAGAAATACTGTGTGACTTGCTTTATCTTTATGAATGGTGACATCCAGGACCCAGGTATAAGGAAGGGATCTGACTGGGAAAGGAGCAAGTCAGGAGCATGGAGAGTTAATATCCTGGATTAAGACACCGTGGAGGTTTCTCTTTGGGCATGTTGGAAGGCAGCCTTAAGGAGCTCACTGTGTTTTGGTGTTGTGTTTTTAATCCTCTAAATGCTCAGGCCAACCTCTACCTGTGGGAAGAAACAGGAAGTGTGTCTGTGTAAGCCACCTGGGAGCGGGGTCGTTGTTAGCTCTGTCTGTACAAGAATCTCTGCATTGTTGGGACTTTTGAGCTGGAACCCTAAGTTTCCTAGGAGATCATGCCCATGAATGACAGGACAGTTCATAAGGAAATGCTACAAACTCAAGGACTCCTAGGACCTCGATCAGTATTATAGGGTATAGAGGGGCGTGACAAGGTGTTGAGCATCTAAGAAGCCAAGTTGTGCGGGATTAGTCTTGAGACAAGAAGGATTAAGATACCTTCTAGCTTTCTTTAGTAGTCATTTGGATCACTGAGTAAAAGGGACACTGGTGGGTCCTGTGGAGGACCCAAGTGCATAGTCAAAGGCTGACTGAAACCCCATGACAAGAGGGAGACATTTCCCTAGTGAGAATAAAGAGGAACTTACAGTTCAAACAGTAGAGGAGGGAGCGAGGCTCCCCTCGCTGAGGGAGGGCAACGTTACTTTGAGTGGTTCCCTGACTTTCACAGCACTCCATGTTCTGATATAAGGAAGCATTCCCTGTTCTGACAGGAGTTGACTTCCAGTGTGCCCTCCTGACCTGAGATTTGTGAATGTGAAAATTCTTTAGTTCAGAGTCCTTCCAGAGAATCTGAAGGAAAATTGCCTTATAAAACAAAACAAAAATTCCTCAAGGATTTGAAGCAGAAAGTAGTTAAGAAGTTAAGGCCCCTGATGGGTTACATTCAGGGAGAACAGGAATCTCTTGGTACTAGGAAGCAGCAGCGTCCTTAGAGGCCATGAGGGCTGTGGAAATGAGATAGGCCTGGGAACGCTCAGTGGTGCCCAAAGCCAGACTTCATGTTAATCGGGGACAACTTAAAAACGTGCAAATGAACACCAGGGAAAGGGTGGCAGATAACTGGCAAAAACAGTCTTCCTGAGACTCAGCCATCCAACAGGTGGAAAGGAGACACCGAAGCAGACCCTAGGTGGACGGACCCGGGATAGTGGTGGGCAGTGGCTCTGCATATGATGTGGGCAGTAAACAAGACTCTGAAACTCAGCTCTTAGAATTGCAAGCTTGAGGTCTGGGCTTTCAGAGAGCTGGAAAGGATCCATAGTGCTGCCTAATTCCTTATTATTTTCTTTGTTGTGAACACTGATGGCTCTTTGAGCTTAATGGTGAAGGCATTTGCAGTGCATGACATGTGTTCAAAAGGTTTACACTATACTGGGGTAAGTACCATGAGGAAGATACAATACACTCGCTATATTTGTACTCCCCCTTCCTCTTACCTGTTATTAGGTGTTGCCCTACTCTTCTCTTCAATAATAGTTGGGCTTTTCCCCCTTCCAGCAAGGGAGGCAGCATTTCACATCCTGCCTGTCACTGAGGGGCACCTATAGCAGCAGGCTGAGTGCCTTGCTCCCTGTGCACAGGGTCAAGAGACAGAATCGGGGGTGGATCTCACTGCTTTCAATCTCCAGGGTGGCATGTGGCAAGTCAGACTAAATCAGCTCATGTTGTTCGAGTGAGCCAGTTGTAAACTGAGCCAATATCGAAGTGCCTTTGGGTTTCAGCTGCAGCCAGGCTGTGGAAGGTCATGGTGCAGGCAGCCCTTGATGGAGGTGAAGTATGGATGCGTAATTGGTGTTGGGATGGGAAATGCTTCATGGGTTGTGGTTTCATGTGGAGGAGAAGGGTTCTTTGGCCTCAGAGGACTTGGGAGGTAGAGTCAGATCCTACCCCTCATGCCTGTGCTGTGTTTCAAGATGCAGCCCTCTGGGTCTGCAGGGCCCTGGACCTCTTCTACAGCTCCCTGTCTGGACCCAGGAGTGAGCTGCTTGTGGAAAAAAATAATGCTGGATCCATTTTATTTCATATAAACGAGATAGATGTAATGGTCAGCTTGAGAAGTGTAGAAGCTTAACTAAGTAACTCAGGAGTTCTACATCCTGGGGTGTAGGGGATTTGCCTTTATCCTCTAGGATGTTCCTTGTGTCAGCTTGAGAAGTTTAGAAATTTAATTAAGTGACTTAGCATTGGGCCAGGGTCCTCACTTCTAAACATCCTGAACCTGCACATGAGGCAGGGCATGGAAATGGTGTGAGTACTACACCCGCCCTGAGGGAAGGGTGGTAGTCTGCTTACAATGTAAGGGAGAGAAAGAGGCTTGCTGTCCCTTTGTTGTTCTTCCTGCTTTTGCTATCTTCTGCCACCTCAAGCTGCTGTTCCTGTGCCATGCTACTCTGCCTTGGAGTCTGCTATGGACTGAATCCTCCAAACTCCGAGATAAATAAACTTTTCCCTCTTTAATTTGGGTCTGAGTATTTAGTCTTAGCAATGAGAGTGAAGTAACCAAGACATGCTTACCACTTACCAAATTTGTGGCCACAGTGGGTGATGCGTACTAACTACTCAGTGTTCATCACTGTTACCTGAGCTCTCTATGTGGAAAACTCCCCATTATCCTCAGACTAGCCACATGAAGTACATCCTTTTTTTTTTTTTTTTTTTTTTTTGGTTTTATGGCTACAAGAAAAGGAACCTTGGGGTTCAAGCTAATATGTTAGTCAGTTTTCCATTACTGTAACAAATACCTGAGATAATCAACTTAGAAAGAGAAAAGATTTACTTTGGCTTACAGTTTCAGAGTTTTCAGTCCATGGCCCAGTGGCTTCATTGCTTGAGGCTATGACAGCCCACTATGACAGAAGCGCATGGCAGAAGAAACCCATTCAACTCATGGTAAGGAACTAAAGAATAAGGAGGGTGCCCGGGTCTCTATACTTTTGAGGCCACGCCCCCAGTCACCTGACTTCCTTCTGTAAGATCCCCTTCTTAAATGCTCCACTCCTCCCATTGGTACCACCCTGTGGACCAAGCCTGTAACATGTGAACTGTGGGGAACATTTATGATCCAAACTGTACCTGTTTCTGTACCTAGCTGGTCACAAATTGCCAAGCTAGGAAGTGGCAGAGTGTGGAAGCCATCTGTTTCCTCTCTGTGGAAGCCCATGTTCTTATTTTCTGTGCTGAGCCTACACAGAAGGACGCAGTAGGTTGCTTTTATCATTGTCATGGGCTGATAATCATTGCTTATGAAACATTTGTGAAATGAGTCGACCCTATGATTGTTTAAGAAGACAAGTAGAACAACAGAACAGATTGAGTGAAGATTTCAGATACCTACTTTTCTTTATAATGGGAGCCATTTAAAATAGTGTTTACCTCTCTGAACTACAGGTAAAGGTCTGCATATACCTCACTGCAGTTCAACTTCAATGTCTATGAAATAAAAAATTCAATTATGACTGAGCAGTGATGCTTTTGGACTATGTTATTCCCACAGTAGTCAGCGGACAGGTGTTGGATTACTGTGACACTGTGACAACTATGGATATCGAGAGCAAACATTGGAAACTTCTGTAGCACATTGAAAGAACCCTTTTAAGGTGTTTTCTTGGTCCATTCTGCTGCTACATTAAAATAGCCAAGGGTGGGTAATTTACCAAGAACAGAAATCCATATCTTACAATTTGGGAAGCTAGGAAGTCCAAGATCAAGAACCAGCATTGGTGCCTGGTGAGGGCTACTCTCTCTTTTCAAGATGGCACCTTGGTGCTGGGTCCTTGTGTGGTGGAGTGTGGGAGGGGAAGAGAGAACAGCTCTTTCTGAAGCCTGTTTTATAGGGACAATAATTGATTTGGGAAGGCAGAACCCTGATGGCCTAGTCACCCTCTGAAGGCCCAAATTCAATACTAGCCCAATTCCATTTCAATACCAGCACCACATGGATTAATTTTGAACATGAATTTTGAAATGAGACATATTCAAAGGAT